CAGTGTGCTCAGAAAGCAAATGGGATCCTGGGCTCCATCAGCAGAGGGGTGGCCAGCAGGGATGGGGAGGTCATTGTTCCCCTCTACTCTGCTCTTGTGAGGCCCCATCTGCAGCACTGCGTCCAAGTGTGGAGCCCCCAGGACAAAAAAGACAGGGAGCTGTTGGAGAGGGTCCAGAGGAGGGCCACAAAGATGAGCAGGGGGCTGCAGCACCTCCCGTATGAGGACAGGCTGAGGGAGCTGGGCTTGTTCAGCCTGGAGAAAAGAAGGCTGCGGGGTGAATCATTGCAGCCTGCAGTACCTGAAGGGAGCCTACAGACAGGAGGGGAATCAACTCTTTGCAAGGGGAGATAACTGCAGGACGAGGGGAAATGGTTTGAAGTTGAGGGAGCGGAGATTTAGGTTGGACGTCAGGGGGAAATTCTCTACAGAGAGAGTGGTGAGGTGCTGGAACAGCTGCCCAGAGGCTGTGGGTGCCCCGTCCATCCCTGGAGGTGTTCAAGGCCAGGTTGGATGGGGCCCTGGGCAGCCTGGTCCAGCATTAGGTGGGATGGTTGGTGGCCCTGCGTGTGGCAGGGGGTTGGAGACTCATCATCTTTGAGGTCCCTTCCAACCCTGGCCATTCTATGATTCTGTAACCTCAGGATCCCAAGGTTGGGGAGGACCTAGGAGGTCACCCATCCCATCCATCCTCCCAACGCCGTCGCTCCCACCAAGCTGCTGACCCTCATCTCACAGCACCTCATCTTCAGCACCACCACAGATGGTGACTCCATGCCTTCCCTGGGCCATCCCACTGCCTCAACACTCTTGGAGAGAAAAAGCTTTTCCTTGTATCCTTCCCTGCTACAACTTGTGGCCGTTTCCTCGGGTCCTGTTTGTTGCTTGGGAGAAGAAGCCAAACTCCTCCTCATCACAACCTCCCTTCAGGAATTTGCAGAGTGCAATGAGGTCTCCTCTCAGCCTCCTCTTCTCCAGACTCCAGGTCCTCCATGTCCCATTGGGTCCCCATGTCCCATTGGGTTCCTCCATGCCCCATCGGGGTCCTCCATTTCATTTTGGGATCCTCCATGTCCCATTGAGGTTCTCCATTTCATTTTGGGATCCTCCATGTCCCATTCAGTCCCCATGTCCCATTGGGGTCCTTCATTTTCCATTGGAGTCCCCCATGTCCCATTGGAATCCTTCATTTCCCCTTTGGGTCCCCATGTCCCATTGAGGTCCTCCATTTAGTTTTGGGGTCCCCCATGTCCTTTTGGGTCCTCCGGGTCCCCATGTCCCGTTGAGGTCCTCCATTTCATTTTGGGGTCCTCCATGTCCCATTGGTTCCCCATGGAGTCCCCATGGTGTCCCCATGATGTCCCCACTCCCTTCAGGAAGTTGCAGAGTGCAATGAGGTCTCCTCTGAGCCTCCTCTTCTCCAGACTCCAGGTCCTCCATGTCCCATTGGGGTCCTCCATTTCTCCCTGGAGACCCCATATCCCATTGGTGTCCCAGTGTTTCAATGGGGTCTCCATGTCCCATCAGATCCTGCATTTTCCATCGGGGTCCTCCATGTCCCATCGGGGTCCTCCATGTCCTATCGCAGTCCTCCATTTCATTTTGGGGTCCTCCATGTCCCATTTGGGTCCTCCATGTCCCACTGGGGTCCCCAGGTCCCACTGGGGTCCTTCATTTCCCATTGGGGTTCTTCATGTCCCATTGGCATCCCCATGTTCCATTGGGGTCCTCTATTTCCCATTGGCTTCCCCATGTCCCATTGATGTCCCAGTGTCCTATTGGGGTCCTCCATGTCCTTTTGGGGTCCTCATGCCCCATTGGGGTCTTCTATGTCCCATTGGGGTCCTCCTTTTCATTTTAGGGTCCTCCATGTCCCATTGGGTCCCCATTGGGTCCCCATGAGGTCCCCACTCCCTTCAGGAAGTTGCAGAGTGCAATGAGGTCTCCTCTGGGCCTCCTCTTCTCCAGACTCCAGGTCCTCCATGTCCCATTGGGTCCTCCATATCCCATTGGGGTCCCCCGTGTCCGATTGGGATCCTCCATTTCATTTTGGGGTCCTCTATGTCCCACTGGATTCTCCATGTCCCATTGGTGTCCTCCATTTCCCACTGGCGTCCTCCATTTCCCATTGGGGTCCTTCATTTCCCATTGGGGTCCTCCATTTCATTTTGGGGTCTTCCATGTCCCACTGGGGTCCCAGTGTCCCATTGGGGTCCTCCATGTCCCATGGTGTCCCCATGATGTCCCCACTCCCTTCAGGAAGTTGTAGAGTGCAGTGAGGTCTTCCCTGAACCTCCTCTTTTCCACACTGACCCATCCCATCTCCCTCAGCTGCTCCCCGTAAGACCCCTTTGTGCTCCAGACCCCTCACCAATTTGTGGAAGGAAGGGGTGCCACTCAGAGGGGCCCCAAGAGATTGGAAAAGTGGGGCAGGGTGAATCTGATGACATTCAACACAACAAAGTGCACAGGTTTTGCATCTGGTCTGGAGGAGTCCCAGGTATTTATAGGGACCGTGACACTCACCCGTGGATTCACCATCATCCCAGAAAAGCTCCCCCACTGCTGTCCCACTGTCGTCCAGTGCCACAATCAGCCCCAGTGCATTCCTGCGGCTGTGGGGCGAAAAACAGTGATTTTGGGGGTCATTTTGGGTTGTAGTGACGGTAATTAATGATCTTTTGGGGTCACAGTCGAGGTAATCGATGCTTGTTCGGAGGGGAACAGGGCTGTGAAATTTAGGGGGTTGAATTGGAATGGTAAGAGTGGAGTAAGGATGGAGTAAGGATCGAATAAAAGTGTAGTAAGAGTGAAGTAAGAGTGGAGTAAAGATGGAGTATAAATGGAGTACTGGAGTAGTAAGAATGGAGTAAGGAATGGGGTAAGAATGGAGTAAGGATTGAGCCTAGATTGAAAATGGGTGTTGTAATGATAGGGTAAGAAACAGGGTAAGACTGGAGTAAGGGTGTAGAATGAGTGTAGTAAGGGAGGAGAAAGGATGGAGAAAGAGTGTAGTTAAGAGCTGAGTAAAGATGGAGTAAGAGTATAGAAAGGGTGGAGTAAGGATGGAGTATAAATTGGGTA